TCATTTCCACTTTACTTTCGCTTTCTGGCCCACGTGTGATAACGTCCTTAGATTCTATGATTCTAATGGTGTTACATCCTGGGATTTTAGACCATCGATGATTCAGATTCTATCCAAAAATTTAGGAATGGGGGATAATGTGATATGCACGCTTTCCAACATTTCACAGTTGAAAACCAGGACGCATGTGGCCAAGCAACATCAGAATGTGGCCAAGATGGCAAAAGTTATGAATGAGGGAAAACACACAAGCTGGGAGAGGCAGCTGCAGTTTGCTTTTGGCTGAGCCTACACGGAAGGAGAAGTTTCTGCCTCTTCCTCTCATCTAATCCTGAGTTAATGTGGTGCCAAATATATTTGCACTTTTAACTCAGTTTGCTGCAATTCAATTCAGGGGGAAAGTGGGAGGGAGGGAGAGAAACTGGGACATTATATAAAGCTGCTGCTGTCTCTCCTAGCTTGTGTGTTCTTTGTTTTGTCATTTTGACCACACTCCGATGTTGCTTGGCTGCACACGTCCTGGTTTCCATCTATGAATTCTTGGAGAGTATGTAATATATTGCTTAAAGATGTCCTTGGAACAAGGATAATACTCTGTTGTGACTTGACAATGGAAAATAATTTCCCTTCTGGCAGAGCAATAGGTCAACATCTGCAAGGAGGGAGATTTATGGCCAGGACTGTCCAGAGCAGAAAGAAAATTGTCATTTTTACCTGTCTTTCCTGAACCCGCTCCCCCTCGCCTGTCCCAGAATGCTAGGATAGTTTTCTCTACTTCATTTTGCAATAAATGCACACAAGCTCACCTTTGTTTCACCTAGTTTTCCTTTTTAATTTTTTAAAATTTTCCTTATTCTCACACATTTACATATCTTCCATACCTATTTTTCCCCAAGTGCAAACATGATTCTTTGCAAACATGGTTGTACAACAACTCTTATACTATCACACATTAACTAGTGTTCCGTGATTCTATAAAACCCTTTAAGTATTTAAGTAAGTCAGGGTTTCCCGCTATGGTTGTCCCAGTTCTACCTAACTACAATATTCCTGTGAAATCTACATCTTTAAATGTAGACCTTTACAATATAATAAAGCTTATTTGCATATATGCCTATGAATCCTTTCACTCTTTAATGTAATATACCAAATTGTATGATCTATTTCTATATCTATCTTTGGTAGTCTATTTCAGAGCAGTTTGACAGACTGTGTGCATTAAAATCAGACTTCAAACAAATGTCACACTAGTTCTTACACTATGCTTAAAACTGCCACTTCCCCCCATTTTTCTTTCAAAAATGATGATCACTTCCTTCCAATGGTCCACAAACTTTGTCAGGACTTTTTCTTTTACTAATACAAATAATTTATCCATATTCATAGCATACACTTTTGTGAACCAATCTTCTACTGAGGGTATATTCTATGCCTTCCAGTTCTTTGCAAATAATCTTCCTCAATATCAGGAAGAGCACCTTTACTGTAAAACTGTTTGACAGTGAACAGACCTCTTGGAGGTAGGAGGAAAACACTATATATCTTTGGCGATCTTTAAAAGGAGGCTGGATTTTTAAAAAATGAAATATTTCTGATGCCCAATATGTTATTGTAATGCACCTTCAAGTTGATTTAAGACTCATGGTGACTTATGGTTTGGTTCCAGGACCTCCTGTGGATACCAAAATCCATCCTGTTATATATAATGAAATACTTTGCTTTGCTCTGGTGCCACAACAAACTACAGTTACCAGAATTCCCTAGCACTGAGCCAGGGCAGTTAAAGTGGTCTCAAACTGGATTATTTCTGCAGTGTGTTTTGGACTCATGATTCTGCATTCTGCAAGAACAGCCTTTCTCAACTTTAAGAAGTGCCTGGGTGCGTTCCCAGAATCCATCCATCTCATTTCTAATTTTACAGTGGGCCCTTGGTATCTGCTGGGGTTTGGTTCCTGGACCACCCCCCCCCAATGGATAACAAAATCCATGGATGCTAACGTCCTATTAAATACAATGACAGAGACACCCATCATCCACACACTGACAAAAACAGTGTCCCTTATATAAAATGGCAAAAGCAAGGTTTGCTATTTGGAATGGACACTTTTTTTGGAATATTTTCAAGCCGTGGATGCTTGAATTCCATAGCACTGAGCCATGGCAGTTAAAGTGGTATCAAACTAGATTATTTCTGCAGTGTGGATGCAACCTGAAAACTTCTTTCTCTCTCGCCTTGTCTTTGCAGCATCTCCACCGACACCGCTTGATGTGCTGTGCCTTTAAATCTCCTCCTCGGCTCTGCAAAGAGAGCAAGCTACAAGTTTTGGCCTGTGAGCTCCAAGAGGAACTCATGATAGAGAAGGGGAAAAATATGCAAAAAGCACACACATGATCTGGCATCAGCTTCCCAGTCTAACTAGCTAACCACACACTCCTGTCTCATGAAAGCCCTGTAATAGCAGGGCAGGGTGGAAAGAGCAAAAGGCAGAAAGAAAACCCTGCCAGAGGCAGCCCAAGAGGATAGGTTTACATGAGATGGAGAACCGGGAAGGCCAGTAAAATGAATTAAACCCCAAAGCCTGGCACTTTTCCATTGCAGGGCATTGGTTCGATACCAAATGTAAGCCTTGCAAATGTACTTCAAGGAAAGGAAAGGAAAGGAAAGGAAAAAAAGGACCACTTGCATTTCGAGGCTGCATCCTATGGCCTCGCTGGCTGTGCTTGGAATTTATAGGCAATAAAATGGAAATAATCTGGTTTGACACCACTTTAACTGCCATGCTGGATGCTATGGAATTCTGGGAACTGTAGCTTTGTGAGACATTTAGCCATCTCTCTCTGAGACTTCTGGTGCCACAACAAAGTACAATCGCCAGATTTCCATAGCATTGAGCCATGGCAGTAATAGTGGTGTCAAACTGGACTATTTCTGCAATGCGGATGCAGCCCCTGTTAATGGAAATTAGTTGGGCAATATCATTTGTTAAAAATGAAATACTTCCGATGCGCAATATCTTACTGTGATGCGCCTTCAAGCTGATTTAAAATTATGGTGTCTTATGGTTTGGTTCCAGGACCTCCTCTGGATACCAAAATCCATCCTGTTATATACAATGAAATACTTTGCTCTGGTGCCACAACAAACTACAATTCCCAGAGTTCCATAGCACTGAGCCAGGGCAGTTAAAATGGTGTCAAACTGGATTATTTCTACAGTGTGGATGTAGCCTTAAGACTTCTTTCTCTCTCGCCTTGTTTTTTTAGGTAGGTGCTGTGGGTTGATCTTGGAAGAGAGAGAACCAGGTTGAAACTAGACTGAGCGCAGAAGGTGGAATGGCAACGAACCAACAGAAAGAACCAGCCAAAAAAGGGTGCATCCACACTGTAGAAATAATGCAGTTTGACATCACTTTAACTGTCATGGCTCCATCCTGCAGAATCTTGGGATCTGTAGTTTGGTGAGGCACCAGCACTCTTTGGCAGAGAAGGCTGAAGATCTTGCCAGACTACAAATGCTAGGATTCCATGGGATGGAGCTACAGCACTTAAAGTGGCATGAAGCTGCTTTATTTCAATAGTGCAGATGCCCCTGAAAATGACCCAGCATGGCAGGCTTACGTCTCACCTGGAGTCCAGGTGTTGTTGGCCTGGAGCTCCCATCATAAGAAATAGTGGGGGATGTTGGGAGTTGGAGTCCACCAACATCTGGAAGGCCTCCCCATCTGATGCAGTTACATTAGTCCTGAACCCCTTTCTCCCCTTGGTCACTTCCCCTTGCTCTGCCTCCTGAATGCCACCGACTTTCCCCTAGGTTTTATTGCCTATAAAGTCCAAACAAAGCCAGCAAGACCATAGGCTGCATGCATTTGCACTGCAGAAATAATGCCATTTGAGACTGCTTTAACTGCCATGGCTCAGGGCTATGGAATTCAGGGATTTGCAGTTTTGGGAGATATTTAGCCTTCTCTACTAGAGAGCTCTGGTGCCACATCAAACTACAGATCACAGGATTCCACAGGATGAAGCCATGGCAGTCAAAGCGGCATCAAGCTGCATTATTTCTGCAGTGCAGATGCAGCCATAAATTCCTGGAGAATCAGACTTTGTCTTAGCTTTGCTGTCTGACATGGAAGTGGAGTGATGAATTTGGATCCCATCCCTTTCTGGAGGGTAAAAACTCTAGAAACCCTAAGGCAAGAGTTTGGGAAGTGGAAGGTTGGACCAGGGTGGTGTAGTAGTTTGAATGCTGGACTATAGCTCCAGAGACCTGGGTTCGAATCCCTGCTCAGCCACGGAAAAACGTGGGGGAGACCTTGAGCAAGTCACACTCTCTCAGCTTCAGAGGCGGGCAAAGGCGAATCTTTTCCGAAGAAATCTTGCCAAGTAAACCCCAGGTTGTAGAGATCTGGTATGGTTTCAGTGTTGGACTATGACTCTGGAGACCAGAGTTCAAACCCCTGCTCAGCCATGAAACCAAATGGCTGACCCTGGGCACATCACACTCTCTCAGCCCCAAAGGAAGGCGAAAGGCAAAACCCCTCTGAACAAATCTTGCCAAGAAAACCCAGTGATGGGATCACCATAATTCAGAAACAAGTTGACGAGGCACAACAACCACAACAGTTTTTAACTTCCGTCTTATTTTTCCAGCCCTTTATCTGAAGAAATTTGAACGTTATGAAGCAACAGGATGAAGCAAAAGGAGAGAAATGCCGGTGGATGCAGGAAAATATGGTTTAAGAAATGTTTCCACACTCTTTTGACTTTGCAAGCCGAAATGTTCCTATCTCTCATTATTGCACAGGTACAACGGCTTTCTGTCTCAGCAACGGTCATTTTAAATCAGCAGAAATGTGAAGCTCGACCATACACAGTATATGATTTTATTGCAAGAACGTTGCTTGTAACGCCAGCAGGGATTCTTAAGCTAATAAATACCGTCAGAGTTACACTTTGGGTCCATTTTTAAATTTCCTGCTCTTTTTGGCAGGTGGGGAATTCTAGCAGCCAAAGCTTAGAAAAAGTTTGTTTTAGGGGCTGCAATTCCCAAAGACTACTCAGTTGTTGCAGCTCAGAAACATATATTTTTCGGACCACAAGTCCTACAAAACCCCAGCCACAGGCTACATTAAGAGATGAATTCTGGGAGCTGCAATCCAAAAAAGTAATCTTTCCCAGCTCAGGGTGACCAGATGTTCTAACTGCAAAGGAGGACAAGGTACTACAAAAGGAAGGACATTCAAGAAAAATGTAGGACATAACCAAATAAAAGCAAAAAACATGCATATTAATGTAACCGCATCCTTCTGTCCACACTGCAGAAATAATCCAGTTTGAGACTGCTTTAACTGCCCTGGCTCAATGCTAGGAAACCCTGGGAATTGTAGTTTTCTCTGTCAGAGAAACATTTAGCCTTCTCTGTCAGAGAGCTCGAGTGCCACAATAAACTACAATCCCCAGGATTCCCTAGCACTGAGCCAGGACAGCTAAAGCAGTGTCAAACTGGATTATTTTTGCAGTGTGGATTAGACCCTAGTCATGTTTAAAATAAAGGAGATTTTGAAACTCTTCCTGGATCGAAGGTGGAAATGTAGGGCATGTCTTGGAAAAGGAGGACATCTGGTGACCCCGTCCCAGCTCTGCAGAAACAGAATTTATTTAGTTTAATTTTATTTATTCTGCCTTTTCAATGGACAAGCATTTGGATTTGGAGCCCTCCCCATACAACACCATTAGAGTGCTATAATTCTACTTTAACTGCTGCGATTCCAGCCTATGGAAGCCTGGGATTTGCAGTTTACAGAGAGGCATTTAGATTTCTCTGCTAGAGAGCTCTAATACCTCACCAAACTATAAAGCCCTGAATTCCATAATTTACAGCCAAAGCAGCTGCAGTGGAATTGTAATCCTATAACTGGGTAGTTAAACATGTTTTAATTCCCGGTCGAGCAGAGATTGGAAAAGTTACTTTTTTGGATTGCAGCATCTCCTGCAGTGACTCTCAAACTTTGGTCCTCCAGATGTTTTGGAGTTCAGCTCCCAGAATTCCTGACTGTTGGCCAAGCTAGCTGGGGCTTCTGGGAGTCCTAGTTTGAGAATCACTGATCTAGTGCATGATAGCATTGCTGTCTAGCACTTCTTGGGAGAAAATCCATATAATCCTAGAGTTGGGAGAGGCCCCCAAGGATCATCCATTCCAACCCCATTCTGCCATGCAGGAATACACAATCAAAGCATTCCCAACAAATGGCCATCCAACCTTGGTTTAAAAACCTTCAAAGAAAGTAACTCCATCACTCTCCAAGGCAGCATATTCCACTGTCAAACAGCTCTTACTGTCAGGAAGTTCTTCCGAATGTTGAAGTGGAATCTCTTTTCCTGTAGTTTGAATCCATTATTCTGTGTTCTAGTCTCTGGAGCAGCAGAAAACAAGCTTGCTCTATCCTCAATATGACATCCCTTCAAATTTTTAAATACGGTTATCATGTTTCCTCTTAACTTTCTCTTCTCCAGGCTAAATATACCCAACTCCCTAAGTCTCTCCTCATAGGATTTGGTGGCTTCCAGACCTTTCACTGTTTTGGTCACCCTCCTCCTGAACATGCTTTTACTACAAGCAGCTCCCAGAACCCTTCCACCAGTATGGCTCAAGCATTGCTGCTGTCTAGCAAAGAGCTTGGAGGTAGTAGTCTTTTGCACTACAATTCCTCCAAATCCTCCTGTCAATATGGCAAATCTCCATGCAGCACTCTGGGAGACGTAATCCAAAAACAATGCCTCCAAGCTGTGCCACAGAGCAACAGCAAGGGCTGTTATTGTAGTTTGCTATTGCACACTTTGGCAGAGAAGGCTGTAGCCTGGTCAAACTACAAATCCCAGGATTCCATAGGATGGAGCTGCATTATTTCTGCAGTTCAGATGTACTCCAAGAGTCCAAGTCCAACACTCAAACCACTAGCTCCTTCAAGGATGCAGAGTCAAACAATTTGTTTGGAGTGAGAACTCACAGTAGTTGCCATAGTTGTGGCCCTATAGCAGTGTTTCCCAAACTTTGGTCCTGCTGATGTTTTGGACTTCAGCTCCCAGAATTCCTGACTATTGGCCAAGCTGGCTGGGGCATCTGGGAGTTGGAAGTCCAAAACATCTGCAGGACCAAAGTTTGGGAAACATTGCCCTATGGGAACTAAGATCATGTCACAAATGAAGTTAAAACCCAAATACACGACTGCATACACACCCTTTCCGCGGCTGTGTAGCATAAGAGGAAATCCATCATAACAGATAAAGCTGTCCTGGAGGGATGTTTCTTGACCACAACTTATCTTATCATGGAGGAAGCTTTGATAAGAAGCCAAGGGAGGAGGAACTCAGCATCTCCTAAGGGCAGAAACGGAAAAACTGCCACGTGAGACACGCAAGAGCGTTGGAAAGTTACCATTGACAAGTAATATGTTGCAGCTGTTTTCCAGCCAGGTTGCTTTGGGAGCAACCGAAAACTTGAGAGAGGAAGTATATTACTCCTGAGGAGTTGGCATAAGAGAAAATGGGGGTAGGAAAGGGATTAAAGCAATGATTCCCTCCAGGAACTCCCAGGAACCCCAGACAGCTTGGCCATCAGTCAGGAATGCTGGGAGCTGAAGTCCAAAACATCTGGCGGACCAAAGTTTAACCCAAAGTTTGGGTTAAAGCAAGTACGGTCAATTATGGGGAGTTAGGTTCTCCTCAAGGGAGCTTCAATACCTCTCCCTGTCACCAAAAATAGATATATACGTTGAATCTCCCATATCTGAAATGCTTGGCACCAGGCATATTTTGGATTTTTCCTCCCAGATTTAGGAATATTTGCATATACATAATGAGATACCTGGGAGATGAGACTCAAGTCCAAACGCAAAATTCAGTTATGTTTCATATATACTCTGTCCACATAGCCTGAAGGTGATTTTATACATAACATTGTTAATTATGTTGTGCATAAAACAGACAGCAAATGTGTCACAATTTCAGCCGCTCAGGTGGATGCTTTTGGAAGACTCAACCTGTATATAGTGGACATTTGGTATCCATTAAGTTTGGGTTCCAGGAGTCCCCACGGATACCAAAAATCCATGGATGCTCAAGTCCCATTAACTACAAGGGCATAGTAAAATGATGTCCCTTACATAAAATGGCAAAATCAAGGTTCACTTTGTGGAATTTATTTAGTTATTTATTGGAAATTTTCAAGCTGTGGATAGTTGAATCAATGGTTACAGAATTCCTCTACGTTCGCTGAGGTTATGGGTGAAGGACGCTCACGAATGTGGAAAAATTGGAAATCCACTATTCTTTTTACCTAAGAGAACGCCTCTCTAGGAATCTCCAGGTCCTCCAATGCAACTCTATAGTCAACATCGGCCAGAGGTTGATCAAAGAATCATGTTGGAGGACCCACAGATACCAAGGGAAGAGTTTTCTGTAGGAACTTCTAGGTTCTCCAGCACAACTCTATGGTCAACTTCTGGCAGAGTTCCACTGGAGGACCTAGAGATTCCTAGAGAGAACATATTAATGAAAACCACAAATAATCAAATCTGCAAAAGTCAGAGCTGCAAATGTGGGGGGCCAACTGTCTTTTGGACTTCAACTCCCAGAAGCCCCACTCAGCTTGGCCAAAAGTAAGGAATTTTGGGCACTGAACTCCAGAACTTCTAGAGGACCAAAATCTGGGAATCACTATAAGTCCTATCTGGATTTCCTGCAAAGATCAGGGAGTCGATGGCCCATAGAGTCCCTTCCAACTATGATTCTATGAATAGTTGAAAAAGTCCTAGATGCTTTTCCTGAGTGTGATTCCATTATCCTTTAGAAGATGTTGAGCTGCACCTCCCAGCATTCCTCACCATTGGCCATGGCTGTGCTCTGGGAAGTTTCAGTCCAGCAACATCTGGACAGCTGCACAATTCTCAACCCCAAGCTGGAAAAATAAGAAAAACCAGTGCTTGGTGTATTGATTTGGATGGATTATGACTTTGGAGATCAGGGTTCAATTCTCAGCTTGACCATGTAAACCCACTTAGGCAAATCACACTCTCTCAGCCTCAGAGGATAATGGCAAACCCCCCTCTAAAGAAACTTGCCCAGAAACTCCCATGATAGATTTGCCTTAGGGTTGCCAAAAGTCAAAAACAACATGAAGACATGCAACAATAAAAAGTGCTTGGAGAAGTTCGCATTTTGGACTACATCTCCCAGAAAGGGGGATTGTGGGAGCTGTCGTCCAAGACAGAAATTTGTCCAAGCTCAGAGAAAA